GACCCGAGACGTTGTGCTCAATTTTGGGCCGTTTCGCTGGCCGGTGTAGCGGTACAAATTTAAGTGCTTCGCCTTGGCGAGCCCCGCGGTACAAATTTAAGTGTTTCGCCTTGCCGTTTTGCTGGCTGTTTCAATGGAGGTGCTGTTGTTCGGTGCCCACATGACTGTTGCACCCGTATGCTCCTTAATTCACTCAAAGAAAAATGAAACGTTTCGCGAAACCAAAAACGTAACGTTTTTTGTTTCGCCCCTCCGCGCTGCCGCCCCCATAAGATTTCCCGGCGGGAGTGTGCGAGTTCTGTTTGGCTCGGAAGCCAGACCAAGTTTCAATTCAAATTCTGTGTATCACACCCCTGCAACCCTGGTGCTGCCATACGCCCGTGCGCGACTTGGTTTAGTCAGCGCCTGCGCGGAGGTAGCAATCGCACGCCGTTGACACGAAGGTGTAACAAAATTGCCCCCCCATTTTGCTTCCGGACGGCGTGCGGTTACCGACGCCGTCTGGCTCCAGACAGAGGGCCCTCACCGCAGGGTCGGAGCAACAACAGAAACAATCCCTTGCGAAGCGTGCACCGAAAGTCATCAGGGTGACTTACAGCACGTTCTGAAATAAATCGCTTCTGAAGGAAAAGAAACAATCCCTTACGAGACACTTGCGCAGGAACCCCCCAACAGGAGTCCCCCACGGGAGTTCCTCAGAGGAGTCACCTGTATGAGTTCCCACAAGAGCCCCACGTAGAAGTCCATAGGTCCATGAGGGGATCTTCGTAGGAGCTCGCCGTAGGAGTTACCCACGCCATGAGAGCCCCCCGGGAGAGTCCCCCGCGGGAATCCCCCCGTAGAAATTCTCCCACAGGAGTCCCCCCATAAGGCCACCCCCATTGGAATCCACCATAGTAGTCCCCACAAGCCCCAACACGGCCCCAAGATGGCCCCAAGCGGGCTCCAAGAGGATCCCCGAGTGACATCAAAGATGCGCGGCCTTCTTCGTAATCCATCAAGGCCATTGGCGTCAGGAGGCCCGCGTGGCTAGCAAGGCTAATGGGGCTATAGCATTATGGATTGGGCCCCCGGGAGCTCACTGGGCGCACGGTCCAAGCGTTGTCATTTTTCTCAAGACAACGAGGTCCAGCGTTTATGAGTTCTTTGGCTTCCAAAAGGAAACGGTCAGATCGCCGCGACACGGGATGTTCTTCATTGCCCCCCAGCGCAGCCAGGTGTTTAGAGCCGCGCGAAGTCGGTGAATTGCTGCGTTTGCGCACCGTCACTGGCGGGTGTCTGGAGTACCGCGTCAATGCGAAAGACTTGCCAGCGGGGCCGTCCACGTTGCATGAACTTGCTGCGTGGCCTATACTGATGCTGAACAGTTTTGCCAACAAGCCTCTGGGCAGGGCGAGAGTCCACAGGGTATTAGCTCTCCTGGAGAAAGGACTTGTGATGCACAGCGATTGTAGCGGAAAGTTGTCGCCAGAGGCAGTTCTCCAACTTTTGGATTGTGCCCTCCGTCAGCGTGGGGCCAAGTGGCCAAGTTGCCTGATGATTGGTTGGTGTTGTGGCGTGCGTGCGACGTCTCGAATGTCTGGCAGGGTGTTATCATGTCTGGCAGTAAGAAGCCCATCCATGCATTTGACAGTTTGTTGTCGTACCTTCCAAAACATCACCGTTCAGAGGTGTCCCGGCTGCGGCCAGCAAAGGACCTCCCAAATGATGCGAGGGAGGCGGCGTTCAATGCAAGTGATGAGTATTTGAATAGACACAAATGCAAACTGTTCCATCGACAAGTCAAATCTGATTCAGGCTTCTTGATGCATCCCAATGGAATGGGGTGCCACATTGCATGGAGAGACCCGGAAAGTGTCCCAGAAACAGATCGCCCCCTGACGTTTGCTTTCGCTGGCTTCCCCTGCAGACCTTGGGCGCCCAACGGGTCGCATCTGGGGCGTGTCCATGACGACGTGGAGGCGTACTACTTATGGCGCACGCACGTTTTCGAAATGGGTTTTGATATCATTGGGTTCGAGAATTTAGAATTATTCCCAATAGATATGATCAAACACGATAAGCCTGACCATTACGGTTTGAAATATATGGTGTTTGGGTCGCAGGATCTTGGCTGGCCCGTGCGGCGGACCAGAACGTATGGGCTTTTGTACAACATGCGCACGCTGTGTTGGATTGGGGCTGGCGGGGACGATCAACTCCAAGATTTCTTGAGTTTCTTCGGGGCAATTGCGGCGCTCGAGGCCGACGTGTTCGCCAGGATCGACTCGGCGAGCCGCCGCGCCGAATCGACAAAACGCATGGCGAAAAGCCGAGGCATGTATTTGACCAGTGAGCAGGTAGACGCTGTTTCTCTGGAGAGCCTGTTGCCCCCGTCGCATTTGTCGTCGTACTGGGGAGCTGTGGGTGCGTATCGGGAAGGTTCGAAAACAGGTGTGAATGGCAGTTTCGTCGCTGATTTGAGCCAGAATGGGCGTCCTAGAGTGGGCCCGTGGATGTCGTCGCTGACACAGAATGCAGTCATGGTAAGTATCTCGACCAAGCATGTGTTCACAGATGCAGAGTTGGAGTTTGCCATGGGTTGGCCAACCATCCTGGTGGCCGAGAACGCTGAGTATGCCAAAGTGTTGGGGGTCGATGGCCATTCCGATCGGCTCAGTCACGCCGCTCGGATGTCTCTGACGGGCAACGGTATGATGATACCTCAACTCATGTCCTTCTACTTGTATGGCCTGTCCAGCTTGATCCGGAGAGCAGGGCTGCAAGACATCAGACCCCCGCTGTCCAGGACGTCCCAAGAAGACGCGTGCTCCGAGTCAGATGGCGATGATGACAACACCGTGAACAAATACATCGTCGTGCATGCATGCGTGTGTTCACTCAGTTTATATGTGTATATATATGCGCACACTTACATACGTGCACACAACAAAGAAGTAACATTGATACCTCATTCAACGTCGCATCCCATGCACCGCTCTCCTTGCGAATGCGCGAGTCGATGCCGTGATGGGGCGAGCAAGGTCCCACGCAAAAGCTGTGTCTTAGTTGAACGTGTTTGTCAAGTGAGCCCGCCTGTGTGGGCGCCATAGTGATCGTGATTGGTGCCGTCCTACTCCCTTGCTCTTCCATGCCTTCCTTCTCCTCCTCCTACGCCTTGCGCTCTCTCGTCGGCGCGGGCCTCTGTCTCGATGGGGGCTTCCGTGGTGAACGTTGCGGAGGCGGAGGGCAGGCCCGCGCCCTCTGCTGCTGCGTCCCGCTCAGGGCGCCAGGGGGCGCAGCGCATGGGCAGACGTGTTGGTCGGCCCCAGGGGCACTTCTTGAAGGTAGCCGTGCTTCACTCGCGATGGCAGGCAGGCCGCGCCCCATTGAAGATATCCGTGCTTCGCGCCCTTGCCTCGCAATCGCGAGGAGGCCGTGCTTCGCAGTCTGGAAAGTAACCGCGCTTCGCGTTCATGAAGGTAACCTTGTTTCTCGCTCTTGAAGGTCGCCCTCGGCCCCCTCCCTGTAGCCATTCTTGGCTCAAGACAATCAGGCGAGTTCAAGCGAGTAAGACTTTATCGCGCATGTTTGGAGACGTCCCGACGAGCTCGCCACGTCGGGGGGCGCCTCGCATGAGGGGGGCCGTGTCCGCGATGACGCTTCGGCAACAGATAGCATGGGTTTCGACTTCGAGTCGGCAGACGGCGGCGGCGCCTGGTCATTGAGCGAGGAAGTGACCAAGCAATCATCAGAGGCAGGCGGCGGCCCACCGGCCAAGAAGGCGAGGCTTGCAACCGGATCCACCACTTGTCGTAATTGCCCAGACTTCGTGGCCAAGGGATCTGTCCGATGTTGGGTGCACAAGCGGGCCCACGAGTGCATCCAAAAGCAGTGCATGAAGAACGCCGAGAGCGAGGAGGCTAAACTGTTCGTCGAGGTTTTCGGCGACCCAGCAGACAAGAGCAACGTGGGAGACATTGAGAAACAGGGCATGGTTTTTGATGACTTTCTGCAGAAGTATCCCGACGGCAGGGCGAAGCCAGGCGTGGCTCGCGGCGCAGGTTGCAAGGTCTCGTCCGTCGTGCGTCAAGAGGGCCTCCGGAAGGAGAGCGTGAAGGAGAGGACGAAACCCATGTGGGACTTCGAGTTTTTCTGCGGGGTGATGTCCAATTGCAGGAAGTGGGACGCCCCTCGATGCAGAAAGCAGTGGAAGGAGTTGAAGTTGGGCCCGACCCTGGACACCGACCAGGGGGGCCCACCGTGGAGCAGGGAAAGGATTGAGATACCACCGTGGTTGGCTGGCACAGAGTCGGCTTCCGACCGGCAGGTCGCGCACGCGGATCAACACGTGGACGCGCGAACGAAGGCCAAGCCTATGAGGGCTGAGGAGCTGGAGAGGGCGAAGCAGGAGTGCCGCCACGGCTTCACCGAGCAGCCTGACGTCGGCAAGTTCGCGACCGAGTCGCACCTTGCCCTACCAGTGAACGCATTCTTGGCCGACGGGCCCAACAGCAGCGCCGACGTGAAGACTATTTTAGCGGGCGTCGTGGGCGCGACTCCTGCTGCCGGGGTCTCAGCAGACAAGGCCGCTGGAGGGGTTGGCGCCGCCTCGCTTGAGGAGGGCAGGGCGGCCGCCAACGCGCTGACGAGGACTGCGGGGCACATTGTCACCGTGCGTAACCGCGCCCGTTCAGATGCCGAGACCAGAGTGGGGAAGTTCGAGTCCAGGCTGATCGGGGTCGTCTACGAGGCTCGCAGGGTCGAGGCGGACGCTGCGAAGATCATGGAGACGTGCAGCTTCGACAAGGCCAAGTACGGCAGCTTCTGCGACGCTTTGCGGGGGCGCCTCGACGTGGCGGAGACGTGGCTGGGCTTCCGGTGCAAGGGCACGGGGCCGTTGCATCGCGTAGCGGAGCCCATGTCATGGATGGAGCCTCCTCTGCTTGAAGTCAAGCTGGAGGCGGGCGCGACGCCCGCAGGGGGCGCGACAGCCGAGGTCGCCGAGGGGGGCGGGCAAGATGTGGCCGCTGGGACGGATGCGGCCCTTCAGCCCGCGCCCGGCGATGGCGCGAAGCCCGAGGGGCCCGGGGCGCCCGCCGGCGACGGGCCGCTTGCTGGCGCCGGAGCGCCTGCAGCACCCCAGCCCGAGCCTGCGCGCGCGCTGGCGGAGCCGCCTGGCCCCCGCGCCTGCCAGCGCGGCTTCGCCCTGTCTGCCCGAGGTCCACGATGCGAAGGTAGTCGACTTGCTGCGGGCAATGCCCTTTATGCCCTTCGAGTCCGCGTGTCTCACGTCGCTGACGGGCCTGAAGATGTACCCCGGCAAGATCGCAGCTTCGGGGGGCCTGAAGGACATCGAGGAATATGTCGACAAGTTGCAGTCCACCGACAGCTTGTTGAAGCAGCTCTGCGATTCCATCAAGGTGGCCGCAAGGGACTTGCTCCGGGCCGTGAAGCAGAGCGAGACGGATTGGATTCGGAACTAAAGTCGGCGTCCGGGATCTCTTGAGCAAAGGGTTGGGGGGCCAATCGTTCGGGGCATTCTTGGAAGAAGGTTTGTTGACGAGGCGGCGGCGATGCGCCCGTGTCTGAATGTCCCCCCCTCGCAATTTTCTCGGCCCCCCCCCCTTTGCCGTCGCTGCGTCGGCGGTTCGAGCAGGACTTGAAGAAGGACAGAGCGAACCAGCAGAAGAAGGAGCAGGCGACGAGGGACGCCGCGGCCAAGGTGATGGAGCGGCGAGAGATGCCCCGGCTGAGTTCCGTGAAGGATTCTCTTTGCTTCAAGTTGAACTTGACGGAGGCAGGCCACCCGTCGGTCCAGGCGATGACGGAGGAGGCGTGGGGCGCCGCGAAGGCGAAGTCGCCGGATGCGTTCTATTCGGAGCCCAGATTGTTGCAGAACCCGCGGGCTTTGGTGGATCTGTGCGCGGCAGGCCCCCCCGAGGACGCATCGCCGCGGGCCGTGTTCGCCACCGCGCTGGGCAGGTGCAAGGACGCCTTCCCGCTTCAGACAGAGGCGCTGCGCTCGGGCAAGATCGTCGCCCCAGTGCTCGGGCCGATGGGCCGCTCCGAGGTTGCGAAGGCCTTCGCCCAGTACGTCGGCGAAAACGAGAAGGTCTCATCCCGTCTTCCCGCCTACGCCGGGCTCGCCAACAGGATGCACATGTACGGCAGCCTCGCCGACGCGATCCACTTCGGCACGGAGGCGAATTTCATGGCGACCCTGTGGTTCCAGAAATGCGGCACCACCAGATTCCTGATGGTGTCCCCAACGTCGGTGAAGGGGATGAGCGAGGGCAACCTCACGTGGGACACCTTGCGGCACGCCATCAAGGACATGGCCGAGAAAGATGCCAAGGCTTACCATTCGAAGGGTTTCGAAATCTTCACAGCCGTGGTTGAGCCAAACATGATGCTCATGGTCCCAGCAGGGTGGGTCATTGCAACCGCCTCGGTCGTGCAGGCGCGTGAGGACCAGGTTGCTGTGCAGGCGACTTTCCTGCCCAAGATCTGTGCCAAGTCAGCGGCAGCGACTTTGCAGTGTGCGAAAGCGTTTAACCCTCCCGCCGCATCTCTCAAGGTTATTGACACCTTGCTTGATGTGTGCACGATGGCGCAGGACGAACAGGAAGCAGCTATTTAAGTGCACGCGCGGATTGTAACACACATACGTAAGTACACGTAGCATCACCGTAACATGCCTGAACCAATTTGATATGGTTTACGCTTCGTGTGCCCCCACCAGCCTATCAAAAAACAGTCGCCAGGCGAGTTGCCCTGATCATCGGGAGGAGCGGTGAGGGTGAAGCGACGAGCCATGGGGGAGGGGTCACATGCAATCGCTGTGGTTGGTTTCTTCGCATCATTATACGAAACGCCTCGATCGGGACGTCCTCTCGCAGGTGATCGGGGCGTTTCTCGCTCTCTTCGACCTTTACAGACAACGATAGTCGTATGTGAGGCTGGTCATGCACCAGAGTAGGTGCAGATTACGCAGGTCATGCTCTGAAGGTGTTTTTGGGTGTCTCTTGGGCCCCTATTGAGGCCCACTGGGGGCCGTCTTGGGGCCCTCTGGGGGCCCTCTTGTTGCTTTGTCGGGCCCTCCATGGCCTCGAATGCGGTTTCAGGGGGTTCAAAATGGCCCCAAGAAGGTTCCAAGAGGGCGTCCAAGTTCTTGCATATCAGAGTGATGGGGCCGAACAGTATTGCTGCCTCTGCGCTCGCGGATAAGGTTGTATCCCGAGAGGTAGCAAACTCCGATGGGGGGCACCGAGGGTGAGCGACACGATGCGGGAGACGAGGGGTTCTGGCACGCAGCTGTCTTGGGACAGCGGCGGGCGTGAGCAGGAAAGGGACACCGGTGCGACGCCGCATGCTGCCCAGGGCGGTCCCGGCAGAGACGGGGCGAACTATGCGATGTGAGGCCCGGTTGCGGGTACAGCGGCACAGGCGGAAAAATTGTACCCGCCACGCTTGCTGAACAAACAAATAAAAAATAAAAAACAATTGCTCTGGCGAAGCGAATGCTGTAGTATAGCGGGTGCCCGTTTCATCCCGGAGTTCGTGGATTAGGTCGCGCGGCAGATTGTGCAAGTGAACAAGCTAAAACAAATGAAATTCCTTGTTCGGTGATCGGGTTCTCCTTGTTCGCTCCCAGTGAAACCGACCCTTTTCAGTCAAAATGGGTCGTTTTTGGTGTTAGTCTTGTTTATGCAAGCTGCCCGATCCATGTCAGAATCGGGCCAATCAGGGGAGTAGTTGTGCGGCCATTTGGGCCCCAAGAGTGGCCCGAGAACGCCCTTGCGCCCAGGAGGGCCCCGAAAGGGCCCCGAGAGGGGCCCAACGAAGCACTTGGATGATTCACTTGGTCTCTAGTCAAAAACCTGTTTGGCTAGAGACCCAATGCATTCGTCTTGGGGCCCTCTTAGGGCCCTCTTGGGCCTCTCCTGAGCCGTGTGAGGGCCCAAGAGGACCCAAGAGGGCCCCATGACGGCTCCAAGAACGCCAAGGGCGGCCTTAGGAATTGGGCTCCCGCGCCTAGACGCTAGGGTCGGCCGAGAATTTTTGGATGCAACGTGCGTGTGCTATGGTGCGCGCGTGCGTTTAGTCTTGGTCCTGGTTCCAAAAATCTGCTAGGCAAGACCCGTCCAATAGTTTGTTTGTTTTTGCTTTCATGCTCGCTCTTCGAAGAAACTGGCAGGCAAACCTTGTCCAGAAATTCGCTTCCTTCTGGTCTTGGTTCGAATGCCAAATCTGTCGTAGACTTCCGTATATTGTTCTCGCCGCTGGTTGCCATGCGCGCAGTCTTGCCCACGCGTTTTCTTGACGCAAGGCTGCAGTCAGTCAGTCGGAGGCTTTCTTGCAGCCTTTTTGGTGCCCTCTGAGATCCTCCTTGGGCCCCCCATGGCGCACTCGGGCCTTTCCAAGACGGCCGTGGAGGGCTTCGCCCCAGGAGGGCCACGGCAACGAAGTACCACAGGGCCCTCGTTTGGCACATTATTCTCGATGCCTCGCGTCTCCCCGCCACCCCATCCAGAGGAGACGCCAAGGTTGTCTTGATCAGGCTAGTGTAGCAACATGCAGCACAACAGTGAGGACCCCGGGGTGGGCCCAATGAGGGGCGCAATATTGCCCAATTCGAAGGTCCACGATTGGCCCATGAGGGCTCCAAGAAGGCCTCAAGATGGTCCCAAACGTAAGGATAGGTTCCGCGGCCGCCGCCATGGGCTTATGGAGAAAAACTATTCCTGTCCGCATAAGCGCTTGCCCGAGGATTTAAGAGGCCGCCCCGAAGGCTCGAAGAAGGCAAAACAAGCAACACAAATGTAACACACAAAACGTCTCGTTGTTTTTGTTGGTGGGGGGTGGGGATGGAGGAGATGGAGAACCGCCGCAGAGCTCCAATGGTGCCGCCCAGGCTGGGAGCGCCAGCCTGGGCGGACAAATTGTGCCCCCCGCGAAAAGACAGCCGGTAACGAGAGGAGCTACCTGTGACAATTATTGCCCATGCGAGCGGTCGGCGAAGGGGTGGGAATTCGGGCGGCTGCAGCGATGCCAATCCACACGAAAATGCATCGGCGCCGCGCCGGGAGCAATACGAGGCGAGGGGGGGCGAGAGGATGGCAGTGCTGCGCGCTCGTAGCCACAAAACGCTTAGTTGTTGGGGACAGGGTTGCGTCAACTTTGTCTGTTATGTTGTGCCCTCTTGGAGCTCTCTCCGGGCCGCATTTCTTTTGGGCCAAGAAGAACGAGAAGCGAGGTCCTTCTAGCGCGTCCGCCCAGAGGGCAAGTGGGATTAAGCAACACGCGCTTGTCTTTTTAGTGTGCACTTCGATGGCGCGGGTGCCGCCGCAGACTCAAACTCACCGTTAATGGCACGGCAAGTACACATTCACATGGGCGTATATGTATGTATGCGTGTGTATTTCTGTATGTGTGTATGTATGTATGTATGTATGTATGTATGGATGGATGGATGGATGGATGGATGGATGGATGGATGTATGTATGTATGTATGTATGTATGTATGTATGTATGTATGGTATTTGGTCTGGGTCGCCTTGCATTTGTCAAGATGCCAGAGGGTTCTTAGGACGTGGGTTCCACTGCGTTCGCCGGGCGGCGGCGCCCCTCCTTGGCGCGCAGCAGGCCTCTCGGATTTTCCGCGGGTCCGAAGCGTTTACCATGGCAGTGGGAGGAAGGGGGGGGAGGGAGGTATGAATGGGTGGAGTTGGAGGCGGGGAGGGCGGGGCTAGGGCGGGGAGGGGGGGGGGATGTTGAAAGAAATGTTAGGAGGATGAGGAGGAGGCGGAGGAGGAGGAGCACGAGGAGGATGAGGAGGAAAAGGAGGACCAGAAAGACGAGGAGGATGATGATGGGGAGGAGAAGATGGAGGAGAGTGAGGAAGTAGATGAGGATCAACACAACGTTTGAGATTTTGACGGCCGCTGCCAGGCCTGGGGGGGCGCGTCGGCAACGACGAGGGCCACTCGACATGCGGGTCTAGAGTGGCGCAGGCGCGAGCGGCTCAGGGGCGTCGAGGCGGAGCTGGCACGAGTGCCCGCTCGAGGAAAAGTATCGTCATCGCGAACCCTGCCATTGCTTCAGCAGAAAGCGTCGCGCCAAACCTGGGGGTCGACATAACATCTTGTAGCTGGATGGCCGGGGGCGCCGTCGAGCCGCCCGAGGCCATGGGCATCTTGTAGCTGTGCAAATTTTCGTGAGTTTCTGGCGGGTTCCTCAGGGCAGTGCGGGATGCTTCGCGCAGACGACAACAGCTCGCGCCCCCCCGCCTTCCCAGTACAACTGGCTCGCGCCAGCCCCGCCTGCCCAATCTTGTCTGGCCCGCGCCAGCCGCCTCGGATGACGTGCCAACGATGGGCGTATGGAGTCACAACTATGACTGGCTTTCGTTGCTCTGCCTCCTCCTTCTTCTTCTTCTTCTCACCCTCTTTGCCTTCGGCCGTTGGCCCTTTCGCTAGTCATCTGTTGCCCTCGGCCTTTGGCCTTGCTGCTGGTCACCTGTTGCTGGTCACCTGTTGCCCTGTTGCTGGTCACCTCTTGCTGGTCACCTGTTGCTGGTCACCTGTTGCCTTCGGCCGTCCTGGCCCTGTTGCTGGTCACCTGTTGCCCTCGGCCGTTGGCCCTTCTCACTTGAGCGCGTCCCCCAAGGTACGTGGATTCCTTCCCCTCCTCCTCTTCGCCTTCCTTCTCCTCCCCCCCCCTCCTCCCCCCTCTCCACCCATTTCCTCCGGGTCCTCCTCCTCCGGGTCCTCCTCCTTCTCCTGCCTTCTCCTCCTTCCTCCTCGTCCTCTCCTGCCTTCTCCTCCCTCCTTCTTGCCAACTGTCCTGATTCAAAGTTCAACGTTCGTAGAGCGCTCCATGCCCGTGCGCGGGCGCCGTTCACAGCAGTCGCGGGCCTGGCTTGCGCTGGTAACTTCGGGCGTGGTTTTTCTCAGCGCTCCTTCCGCAGCAATCCCAGGGGTCGCCGCTGTGACCGCGTTGGTCGCGTCGCCACATTCCGCGTGCGCGGTCTGCGAAAGCTCGCGCGGCAGACCGCGTGATGACGCAAAGTGCAGCGGAGAGCACTGATCTAACCACGCACGTGATAAAGGCGGACGGGGCAGTGGGGTTCGCCGCTTCGGCCGTGAACGGAACGACGGGGTGGGCCGCTGGAGTGTCGAGCGCAGCAGCAGATCGCGCAGCTTCACGGGCGCGCGCAGCAGCATGTCAGTGCCCTTGCTATCACATGCGAAACGCCCCGCGCGTAGGTCTCCTCGACGCTTGATAGACGGGCGTGCGATCACTGCCGCCAGGGAGCAGGTGGCGCAGGCTGTGGCGGAGCGGGGGCGCAGCGCGCCTCTGGCCGCGATCGCCCGCCCCTGTTGTGTGCCAGGATGCCGCCAAAGATTTCCTTCCGGATCAGCCGAGAGCGCGCGCCTTGCAGGGTCGAGCGCGCCAGCGGCTTCGGGGGCCGCGGTTCCTGGGCATCGCGGAGGGCTGCGGCGCCGAGGCGCCCTTTACAACCCTGGGGCAGCCTTGCCCCCGCGAGCGCAGCAAGCTCGGGTCGACGCGCTCACTTGCTTAGGGAACGCGGCAACCTGGCTGGAGCAAGACGGGGAGCGCGTTCGTGTTCACGCAGGCGCTGACGGGGCGGCCGCCGTGGCCAAAGCCACCGCCTTCCGAGATCGCCTGCGCGAGCTCCGGGCGGCTGGGCTGTCTGCTGAAGGAGCTTGGGTGCTTCTCCTCACGTTTGCCCAAGGCGCGGTTACACACCACCTCCGCGCGTCCTACAACACAGACTGGACGGACACCTTCGACGACGCCATCTTCGGCGGCCTGCAGGACCTTCTCCAGGCCCCACTCGACGAGGGGCAGAAGTGGCAGGCCACCCTGCGGCTTGTCGATGGGGGTTGCGCTCTCTCGTCGGCCGCGGCAACGGCGCCGGCCGCGTTCGCCGCAAGTTGGGCGCTTGTCATGCACGACGTAGGACGCGGAGCGGGTTTCTCCACCTGGGAAGACTTCCAGGCCCGCTGCCCGTTGACTTGTCGTTCTCTGCAGCAGGCTGAGGCGACGCTTCGGGCGCAGGGGACTCTCGGGAACGACCCCTTCGACTGGCTCAGTACTCTTCAAGAACCGCGCCTCAAGCTACAGGGCCAGCGGGGCAAAGAGCGGTCATCCACTTCTCGAGAGCGCTTGCTGGGCCTGCTCGGAGAAGAAGACCGAGTACAATTCCGCGGAACAGGGGGGCCAGGCGCAGGCGGTTTTCTGCTCCCGCGCGAAGAGGGCGACCCGCTGATGCCTGACAAACACTTCCTCTCGGCGTTCAAGAAGCGCCTGCGGGTTCCAGTTTGCCCGCCAGGAGCCCGCTGCCAGCACAAGCGAGCCGACACGGGGCTACCTTGCAACGACCCTCTGGACCGCCATGGCTGGCACGCGTACTGCTGCCCAGTTGGAGGGTCCCGCGCGGGGCGCCGCGACAGCGTGCGGGACTGGCACGCGCCCACGCATTCCCGCCTCACTGGTTACCACGCCGAAAAAGAGCAGAGAGTCCCAGCTTGGGACAGAATGAACCCACGGACGGGAATCATGGAGGAGGCGAAGTTGGACGTGTGTACACGAGACCCCAGCACAGGACAGCCTGTGTTTGTTGATTGGAGCGCGACCTGCGAATACAGCACCCACGGCCCTCGCAGGCTTGCCCGATCCAACAACGACGGGGTCGCAGCGGCGCAAATGGTCCACGACAAGCGCGACCGCTACCCTGCTCAGCACGGCAACTTGGCGCCCCTGGTGTTCGAATCGGGAGGCCGCCCGTCCGACACGGCCGTCGAGTTCATCAGGTCGTACGGCCACGGACTGGACGATGCGGAGCGAGCCCAGGTTTTTGGGACGCTATGGAGGCAGATAAGCCGGCGCTTGCAGCTGGGCAACGCCGAGATGCTGCTCAGCGCCCTTGGGCAGTAAGTAGCTGGCGCCTGCACGACAGGACCGCGACCCTCGCCACCACGCTGGCCACTGGCCGCACGACTGCCCCCACGGCCGCGGCCACTGCGACCACCACGACAATTTTGGCGGCCATCAGGACGAGTACCACGGGAGCCACCACGACCACCACGCCAAAGGCCTCACGGCGTCCGCCCCTGCTCCTCCCACGGCCCACGCCCCCGCCCCCGCGATGCCGACGCCGACGCCCCCCATGGCCTCTTCGGCTACCTGGACCGCCCCCCGTCCCCTGGCTGCTGCTGCTGCTCCTCCTCCTCCCCCTCCTCCTCCTCCTCCTCCTCCTCCTCCTCCTCCTCCTCCTCCTCCTCCTCCGCCTCACTGCGCGGCTCTCGCTAGCGGCGCGATGTGGTTTGGCACCTGCCCCCGCCGCCTGCTCCGGGGTCGCCCGGCAGGTTGGGACAGGGTGCCGGGGACCTCGCCTCCTCCTTTCTCTAGGAGGGGGTGAGGGAGGGAGGCGGGGAGGGAGGGAGTGAGGGTAGGGAGGGAAGGGGAGGGAGGGAGGGAGGAGGATGAGGGAGGGAGGAGGAGGAGGAGGAGAGGAGGAGAATCGAGGACGGGAGGGAGGAAGGAGGATGAGGAAGAGAGTAGGAGGAAGAGAGAGGCGGAGGAGGAGTAGGAGGAGGGGAGGGAGGAGGAGGAGGAGGAGGGTGAGGGAGAGGAGGCGGAGGAGGAGGAAGGAGGTCGGATGAGGAAGGAGCGGTAGAGGAGTAGGAGGAGGGTAGGTGGGATAGGAGTAGGAGGATGGAGGAGGAGGAGGAGGAGGCGGAGGGGAGGGCGGAGGAGGGAGGAGGAGGAGTCCCTCTTGGAGACCGCCCCTGGGAGGATGCGAGCACCGCGGACGCCAGCGCCTCCGACAGCTGCGCGGACGGCTGGCGCGCCGCGGCGCTCCCCCGGCCTGCGGAGCTGGGTTGGAGGCTGGTCGTCAAGAACACTTTCGTCGAGTGCGAGCTGCTCGAGGAGAGCGGCATGTGGCTCCGCAGGTCGTCGTCGGCGCCGGCGCTGCTTCCCCCGTCGGCCGGCGCCGGGGCGCAGAGCGGAGGGCCACCGCCGCCCTCGGGCGCAGAGACGCGCACCACCCTGCTGTTCCGCAACCGTACCTCCTCACGCGGGACATGTTCGTAGAGCTCCTGAACTCGCACGGCTTTCGAGGCAAGTTTGACCTGGTGTATTTGCCTATCGATTTCAAAACGAACCAGGCTCTCGGCTATGCGTTCGTGAACGCGATCGATCCCGAAGCCGCCATCAGTCTCTTCCACGTCTTCGAGGGCATCCAAGCGTGGCCCAGGAAGAGCTCGAAGACGTGCGCTGTGTGCTGGGGTGGCCGGCAGGGTTTCGAGAGCAACGTCCGTGTCTATCGCAATTTGACCGTCATGAAGGTGGCCGCTCCCGAGGCATGGGAGCCAGCGACTTTTTCAAATGGCATTCAGGTGCTCGGGAGGATCGAAATGTCGACGGAAAGAATGGGGACGAGGACCAACGGCAGCTCGGTGTCCTTTGTGAATCGGGTTAAGTCGGGCATGTCACTCTACAGGAGGAATATTCAATAATAGTGGAACAAATCGCCTGGGAACGGCTTTTCGTGCTCTTTCGATTCTTTTGTGACTATTTTTTGGCATTGCCTCCAAGATCCGCCCGTAATTAGGAGGACATGCCTAACCTAAGAATAGGGCTCGCCGTCGGTGTCGTCGCGGGCGGTGTCCCTCAGAGACACGCACGGCCTGCGCAACAGCTGCGCAACAGCGGCTGCTGTCGGCACTGGGCAGCATTCGCTGCTTAGCTCAAGTCGGACATCCCTCTACAGGAGGGGTATTCGACAATAGTCAACAATAGTCAGGGGGCGATATTTCGGCTATTTTTTATTGTGTGTTGGGCTATTCGGAATCTGTTTACACTATTTGATATGTTTTTTTCCAAAATCCGCCTGTAGGCGGACATGCCCGACCTAATGCTGGGCGTCGCCCCCATGTTGGTTTGTTCCCTGCGCGGGCGTGCCGAGGTGCCCTTTCCCGCGCCCACGCGGGCGATCAAAAAGTACTGGAAGCGGCACCTGCGCACCGGCAGCACCACCAGATTGGCAGCCTGAGCGTCTCCGTTCGAAGAAGGGACAACAGCATAAACATGAACTTATGGCGCTTCGCGCGGGTTTCTTCGATCCGCGCTGGGGCCCCCCTGGCGGCGCCTCCGGCGGGGGTAACAGGTCGGTGGCAGGGCCCGCTGGGTGCGGAACCGAGGACCAGGAGGAGGAGGAGGAGG